TCTTAGTATTAGGATTTTGTGTGTCATATCTATTATACAAAATACTCAATAACATTCAAACTACCACATGGCAAGGGAAACGAATGCAAGAGAAATGTATGTATGATAGCACCATGTATTTCTGATTTAATGAAAACCTTTTACCATTTTCAGTACTTTCCTTTATTCCTTTTGTCAAACAACATTTACAAGTTTTCTTATTTACAGTCTTTTCACTTCGAAATCTCTTCTTCAAAGTTTTACATTTTATTGTTTTCTTTATATTTCGAGCACTTTATATTTCAGAAAACTGTCATATTTTCCATACCTTTACCTTCAAGTCTTATCCTTCGAACGCATATGTTTACTTAAAATCATTTACAGGTTTCTTGCATTAAACGCTTTCTTCACATTTTAAACTTTTACGTTCCAAGAATCCTTTATATTAACTGTTTTGTAAGTCGAAACCATTTACTTCACTTTTATGCAGTTTTACATGTCTCTACAATTAGCATTACAATTAGCATTTATTCATGTAATTTAGTGTTCACACACCTTTTGATTACATCTTTAGACTCTTAGAGAGAGAGAGAAATCGAAATAAGCCAAACACCTATACAACATCAACCATGAATATCTGTTCGATTGTGAGAGTAACCTTAATATCCAAGGAGTCCTAGGATCAATCTAGTCGATCCTGTGAGTTACCAGAGGAATTGAATAACAGTCAGAAAGATTATTCGATAGTTTGGAAGACTAGCGGTTGTTTACCAGAAATCACTGGAAACACAGTGTCAAGGGTTAAGCGGATTGGGAAAATCCTAGTCATTGGGCCAGTCCAGAACAGGAGCCCCCAAGTCGTTGTTTCTGGACACAAGAGTGATGAATTAGAATCAACCCGTGAAACGGGGGTGCTTCTCGGTCGATTTCGTATGAGGAGTACGAGTGATGCTCGTCGTGTTCGTCTTGTGGAGAGAGGAACAATTAAGCGGTTTTGAGGAGTTGTCGTATCTCGAGGGCTAATTTCGTACGAGGAGTCTGAAAAATGCTTGGTGTTCGTTTTGCCGGGAGAGGAACAGTTGGTTGGAGTCCAACGAGATTGTGTGCCACACTTGTATCGAGCCACGTGATGTCAGAGAGGTGTGGTGATGGCTAGCCTAGGGACTATGATGTAATGATGATACCTTTTAGGGTTCCCTAGGCGCGTGCTCTCCCGCGCGCTGGTGAGTCCAGTCTATAAAAGGGAGGGAAGGAGTTTCATTTTCACTTTTCGCCTGCTCTTCCTTTGCTCATTTGCTCCATTTTCTTCTCGACTTCATTGGTTTCCTACTCGACTTCAACAGTTTCTAGAGTTTTCGCTTATTCCGCCGTTCACCGCCGTCTGTTTTGTCGTTCCTTTATTTGATCTGGTAAGTTTTCTTGATTCCCCTTGCTTTTGTGGATTTAGTTTCTGTCATTGCTTAGATTTCGAAGTTTTTCTCTTAGAAACACATGTGGTTAGGGTTTAAGGTAACTTACCTCTTAGAAGTCCTGACGGAATGTTAGTTGGAGATGGTGGTTTCTCCAGGTGAGATTGTCGGTAATGTCATGCGTTCTTCCCGGCGAGTTTGGAACCGCGGTGGTGTTTGATGAATGTATATGGGTTTTTTGTGAATTTAGGCTATTTCTGTCTTTCACCAAACGTTTCGGATGAGTCCAGCTCGTTTAGTCAGGGAGAGTGATGATTGTCTAGTAGTTGTTTAAGAGAGGGCTCTGGTTGCAGACAGGGTCCTCATTCATTGGCGCCCTTTCACTTTATTAGTGGTGGAAGGGTGGATTTGACATTGATGTCGAACTCACTGTTATCCTCTACTTTTCAAGTACAATGACTACTAGTGTTAACGACGAGTTTCTGAACGAGCCTAGTGATTTTGCTCAGAGTTCCACTGAGTGTACATCTAGAGAGACGAGTACCTCAAAGGTGTACGAGTCTACGCTGGGCGCGTGGTAGCCATAGTTTCCTGGGCAACAAGCCACTGAGGGGGACGTAGAGATGGCTCCTGCTGACTGAGTAGGTCCAAGTGAGCCCGTGGTTGAGGAGGATCCATTGGCTTGGGTCACATCAGGTCCATTGAAGTATGTTTATTACTTCATCGAGTATCCTGACGATATCTTTACAGCGGTGGACCCGAAGATGGATTACGAGGGTGTCGGGGAGCAATAGGCGATATACATCCCCAATAAGAAAAGTCAGGTTTGCTCGAAGTTTGAAGCCCTTCGGTTCTATATGTATGATATCCCGTTCAGGGAGATGGGTTTTCGGCTTCCCTTCTCGGATTTCCAGGTGGCGGTCTTCAGACATCTTTGTCTTGCTCCGTCCTAGCTGCACCCGAATTTGATCGCCTTCTTGCGTGCTTTCGAGATTGTGTGTGACTATCTGGGCATCGGGGCCACTATTCCTCTGTTCTTCCACTATTTTCATCTTCAAAGGAAAATGTTCGGTGGCCAATTCAGTTGGGTTTACCTGAAGCAGGATAACGGAAAATTGTTCAAGGTTGTAACACCCTAATTTTTGTCCCTAAGATCCCTCATCATATCATATACGTCTCATGCATATCATCGATTCCATGGTTACGAGATCAAAGGCTTTGGCATTAGGGTTTTTCTCTATGAATTGAGGTTGCTACCTTACTCAAAGTTGGTTCAACTGGCGTTCTCATCATTCTTGGTTTCATCATGTCTTGCAATTGAGCAGACCACGAGCTAGGGTTTTGATTCCTCTCAATACCTCAAGTCGTCTCCTCATCATCATGTATCCAAATCAAGAGAATTGGGGTTTCCTCCCAATTGTCTTCACCACAAGATATTACTTTCAAGAAGCTTAAAGGATTGAATCGACATCTTATTCTCATTATGATACTTATAAGTGGATTAGGGTTTTTACCCATGGTGGTTGAGTTTGTCAATGTTTCAACTGAAGGTCATTAGATTTCATACTTCAAGTCTTATGATTTGTCTTCAATTTGTTTCTCAAGGCTTTAATTTCATTGCATTATTGTTGGTTATCAAGCTAGGATGCCTTTATGGTTTAAAGTTCAAAAACATGAATCATGGCACAAAATGTGAAATTCCGGATTCATTGGGAGCAATGAATTTTTTTAAGAGAGTTATTATGGTCAATGGTTGCTTTGATATGTCTTTTGATTGGTTGAAATATGGACTAAGGTCATTAGTCATTCAATTAAGATAAGTTTCTCCAATTGCAAGGTAATGTGGACTCAAAATTAAGGGGTTCATCCAAATATGCTATGAGTTCAATGTGACGAAGTGGCTCAAGGTTTTGGTTCATAGTTCGCTATGGAGTCAGTATTGATATGTCAAAAGAAATTCCAAAGTGCAAGATTAGAATAGTCATGTATGTAGATGTCTTAGATAAAGAAAATTCCAAGGTATACGTCATTATCAAATTCATTTAACAATTGTCAGATGTCATCAAAGTTGCAATTACAAATGTTCATTAAAATCATCGAAATTCGACTTTACTCAAAGCTTCATTCATGAATAAAGTTCAATTAAAAAATGCGAAAGATATCAATGTTCCTTCATTATAAGGTTACTCGAGATTCATTAACCATAGGTCATGGATTCCAGTATTTCATTCAATTGAAGATTGAAATTCAAATACCTCCATATTCGTTCAAGTTTAGTTCTTTGGAATTCAATAAACAAGGAAAATTGTTCATATTTTACAAGATATTACATCAAGAAATTATACATAAGACATATGCCTAATCCTAAACCTAATGGCTACCATGTTTGTGCTTTCATCTCCACCGATTCATATCTACAATTCAATCTTCATGCCTCACCTTCGAATGTCTCAACCATATTCCTATGCTTCCTCTCAACTTGTCCAAAACCAATCAACCATGGTCATATACCGAAATAGCCCTGTTTCAATCAATTGACACAAGCCAACATGAATGTCAGGAGCATGTCGTGCTGCAAACACAGGAGAAGAAAAGTGAGTAAATTCATATGCAGCCCTATAAAACTGATTAGCCAAAAACACAATAAACCAGTTCAAACATTTCCTAGCCGCCTAGCCTCAAGCCACTATCCTAGCATGCTAGTGATAACCAAACTGCAGTTCATCTGATAAACAAGTTCAGAGAAGGCCAGTTGAAGTCGGTCCTCGCAAAATGAGCCCTTGCACCAGCATCCCAAACAGTTAAATTGGAGGAAACCTGTTCATAATTAAAGGATACCAGTCTCATAACAACTCTTGGTGTGCAATAGTTTGATAACGAAAAAAATACCATTAAAAGAGTTTGAAACTCAGAAAAATCAGGAAATGCGAAAATAGAATAAGATTCAAGTTTAATTCTCAGCTTGGCCTGTCAAGAAAAACATGTCTGGAGGTTCTAACAGCTCCAGCAGACTGGAAAACTTTCTAATCAAATTCAATTCTACTCTCTAACTAACCAACTAACTGTTTTCAAAATAGAGATAACTAAACTCTCCAACACTTCTAACCGTTTCCTAACTATTTTTTAACAACAATAACCGAATGGCTAGAGGTTTTGTAACAGAATGGATTGAGATTTTGTAACAGAATTGGGAGGGCTAACAGAATCGTAACAGAATTAGGGAAGCTAACAGGTTGAAAACAGAATAAAAGACAGTTTCATAACAGAATTGGGGAGGACTCACCTTTCAACTATCTCACGGAGGTTCCATCTTGAAGGTTCACTCTCTCTTCCATACTTCAACCTTCAACAGGATTACCACAAAATTTGCTCCATCTTCATCTTCCATCACGATTTTCAGATTACCACAAAAATCGCTCCATCTTCATCTTCCATCACGATTTCAGATTACCACAAAAAACTCTCCATCTTCGTCTTCCATCACTATTTCAGAAAACCACGCTCCTCTTCAATATTCATCTTCCCTGATCTTTAGACCCCACTTCATCAATCCATTATCACCTTCATCAATTATCCAACCTTCCTCCTTGCAAATTAGAAACAACAATGATATCAGGATATAACCGAGATTTCAGATAACAACAGGAAGCGACGATAAAGGAGTTCAGAAGCAAAGAAAGGGAAACGAGTGAAGAGCTTACCATTGGAGTTCTTATCTTCGCAGCGGTGTTGAAAAGGAATTGGCATCATCGCCGGTAGGTAACGTTTCTTTAATCCCTTCTGGTAACATATATCATCTTTTGCTGTTATGATTGAATCGATGAAAGTATGAGAGTTTGAATTGGAATCGTAAGCGGAAAGGGCAGAGAATTGAATCAAATAAGAAGTATTTAGGCTTATAATCATGGTTAGGGATAAGATAGTGAACTGAGATTTTGATATGGTGGAGGCAAGGTTGTTGATTTCGTCGGTGATTTGGGGTTGGGAGAATGGATTGGCGTGGAAAATCTGGAGTGAAGAGATAGAAAGGATCCGGAGCAGGCGAAGCTTAGGGGAGGTTGGATTCGGCGAGTATTAGGGAGAAGCCAAGTGTTAAGTGGAATGTTCTTGCTGGGATGAACCGAAGCGCAACACCCGTTTTTTTGTGTGTATAGCCTAGAAGAAGTGTTACAAAGCATAATCTTTTGGCCGAACCCTTCCCTCAAGCCCATCAGAGGTTTCTTTTAAAGGCTGAAAAAAAACTATAACAAAAGCATTCCATGGGCTGGACATAGAACTAGGATTGGGTTTGTTATGCAGTAGCATCATGTACAGTTTACACCCCCTATAGAATTTTTAGTCAATATTTATTTAGTTTTTTCTTTCCATGATTGTTCGACAACAATTTTTGTAAAAAAAAAAGGGGAGAAAATATGGATGTCGCAAAAACATTAATAAAAAATATATATAATAGATTTAGGAGATATTTTTAGGAATTAAATCCCGATTATCTATTTATTTGAGATTTATAATTCACCTTTGTTTGCTTGAGATCTGAGATCGTATGCAGGTTCATTGTTTGATATGCGGATGTATTTGGATTCTGAGTGTGATTTATTTTCACATCGAGGAAACTTTGACATCTATTCCGAATATTCAATCTCTGACTGTTTGTTTGTTAATGCCAGCTCGCATGAAGTATTCCGAGTCTATTTCCTTTGGTTGTGCTTTTTGCAGACTTTATTGTACGTTTGGTATTATACTACTTCCAAGTTATACTTCGACATTTATCGCTTTCTAGATATCATGAGAAGTAGGAAATAAAGAGCGTGCGCTCGAAGTCGCTGTTTAAAGACCTGTAGTAGGCATTCCGCACTTCATTTCTTATATGTGTTGTGCTTGTGTTTGTTCCCTTTCTTGTTGATCGATGAGTCACTCAATTTAGCAATTGAGATCACGACTTCGCTCTCAGTGCATGCTCCCTATAGGATTTTATCGCTTTCCTTTATTTCTTGTTGATCGATGAGTCACTCAATTTAGAAATTGAGATCGCGACTTCGCTCTCAGTGCATGTTCCCTATAGGATAGTATGTTAGACTTTATTTGGCATGCTAACTTAGATAGGATCCCTCACTGTATGATAACATTAGGTTAGAGATAGGTTAGTCTCTCTGAGATGTTTTCTTCCCATTTTTGCATTATTGCATTTAAAACTAAAACTGCTTTTTCTTGAAAAATGTATAAAAAATGCTAAGCATACACAAAATTCTTTTCATGGTAAAAAATACCAATCAATCCATTTCTTTTCGCCATTCGTCTTTTCTCTTCTAAGAGCATTCGATCATTCCACCGCTGCTCGACCTTTGGGGACTGCCAAATTTTCTGTGTTTAAATTACTCAATTAGAATTTTGTTGCTCTGCAACCAAAATTTTATTTACTATTTTGTTAGTATTCGCTCATAACTAATAATCGTCTAATCTTTTTATGCGAGGGAAGGCCTCAGCTGAATTTCCTTTTGACGCAGAACCAGAAAGATCACTGAGGGAGAGAATCCGAAAAGCTAGGCAAGAAAGTCGGAAGGGAAGAGAAGAAGTACAATCAAGTCTTTCAGAGCAATTAGAGTCTGAAGCGATGGCTGCTGACCCACCGCTTGTGGAAAGACTTCTGGGCGACTATGGAGGAGCAAATGCCCCTCTGGGCCGGATGACGATCGTTAATCAACCAGTAAACTTCGATCACTTTCAGTTACACCCTTCCATTATCAGGCAACTTGAAAGGAGACCATTTTCTGGAAAGATTAATGAAGATGCAAACAAACATCTGCAGAGGTTTCTCACCATGACCACATCGCTGAAAATTGAGGGGCATTCTGAAGAAGCAATAAAATTAGTAATGTTCCCTTTTACTTTGTCAGAGGATGCTGAAGAATGGTTTTACTCTTTACCGACTGGAAGCATTACAACTTGGCAACAGATGGAGACTACCTTTCTCAACGAGTATTTTCCTGCTTCTGTGTACATCCGTAAGAGGTATGACATAGTGAACTTTAAACAGAAGGAAGGAGAATCACTAGGAGATGCGTATAAGAGGTTAAAACGACTGTTGGTTGCATGTCCCACTCACAACATGGATGCAACTGAACAAATGCAAAATTTTGTAAATGGCCTAAGGATGAAGACTAAGCAACTTATCGACACAGTTGCCGGTGGCTCAACTAAATTTACGACAACCACTGGTATTAAAAAGATAATTGAAGCTATCGCAACAAATGAGCATTTAGAGTTGTATGACCGGAGTGTGTCCCAACCTGAAGGAATAATTGATTTGAAATTGTCTAATCAAGTTGTCAAGATGGAAGACCAAATTACAGCTGAAGTAGAAAGAAGACTGAAGAAGATGGCTATTGATACACAAAATGTAGCTCAGGTTCAATCGGTCCAACCCACGCATGCTAGCAATTGTGAAATTTGTGGAGGACCTCATCTTATTGTACATTGCGTTGCCACTGCACAACAAATTGAGGAGATAAAATTTCTCAGACAGAACAACCCTTATTCAAATGCTTATAATCCGGGTTGGAAAAATCATCCTAATTTCTCGTGGAAGGATCAACAAGGAAATGCCCAAAACCAACCACAACAGCAACAACCATACAACCAACCTCATCAACAATTTCAACAACAGGGGACACGGAAAGCTGATTGGGAGATTGCCATTGAAAAGATGATTGCTCAAAGTTCTCAATTTCAAGAAGAGACCTGAAGTAATCTAAAGAACACGGGGGCTTCCATTAAGAATCTAGAAATACAGATGAGTCAGATCGCACAACAACTTGCGGGTTTTCAACCACAAGGCGCTTTTCCAAGAGCCACGGTCACTAATCCAAGAGACAACCATCACATGAATGTTGTGATCACTAGGAGCAGTAAGTTAAAAGATGTGCAGGAGAAAAATTCTGAAGAAGAAGACTTACTGTTTGAAGTTGATTTAGAGATTAAAGAAAATGAGGTTGAAATTGAAGAAGTAACTTTACATGAAAGTGCAGTCCAAGAAGAACCAAAAGGAAAAGTCGCTGAGATGAAACCTGCAATTAAACTCCCTTTCCCCACAAGAAACAAGAAGAAGCGGCATCATGAGAAAAACTTTAAATTTTTTTTAGAGATGTTCAAAAATCTTGAACTCAACATTCCTGTCTTGGAGGCACTCGAGCAGATGCCTACTTATGCCAAGTTCATGAAAGATATCATATCGAAGAAAAGAACCATCGATACCGACCCTATTATTCTAACTGAAACCTGTAGTGCTATTTTGCAGGGTATGAAGATTCCAGTAAAGAAGAAGGATCGAGGTTTTGTTACTATCCTTTGCACTATTGGGGATAGATCTTTTAAAAAGGCTCTTATTGATTTGGGAGCAAATGTCAGTCTCATGCCACTTTCCATATACAAGAAATTAGGGATTGGTAATGTGCAAAACACAAGGATGACACTTCAGTTTGCCGATCATTCGGTGAAAAGACCTTATGGAATAATGGAAGATGTCCTGGTAAAAAATTGACAAGTTCGTATTCTCGATTGATTTTTTTGTTCTTGAGATGCCGGAAGATGAGGAGATTCCTCTCATTCTTGGTAGGCCATTTTTAGAGACCGGGAGATGTTTGATAGACATAGAAGAGGGTACCATGACTCTGAAAGTCTATGATGAAGAGTTTAAAATTGATGTTCGAAACACTATGAAGTATAAGGATGATATTGCCATGAGTCAACATATCGAAGTAATTGATCAAGTGGTTGCTAATGAGAATTCTTTGAAGACACAACAACTACCGTTGGAAAAAGTGCTGAGCTTATCAATTTTTGAAGAATCCGAAGAGGTGGATGAAAAAGATATGGAAGCATTAGCCATGATGGATGCAATTCCATCATTCAAGGGGACTCGACCAAACCTGTGGGAGGATTTAAGGCAGCCTTCAACGAAAGATAAGAAAGATGAATCTAAGGAAGGAGCTGAATTAAAACAATTACCTGAGAACCTCAAGTATGTTTTCCTCGACACCGACAATAGGTGCCCGGTAATAATCAGTTCCAATCTTGAAGCTCTCCAAGAGGATAAGCTCGTCAAAGTTCTAAAAAAACAAAAAAGTGCTATTGGGTGGTCGGTTGATGATTTGAAGGGGATTAGTCCTACGGTTTGCATGCACAAAATTCTTATGGAAGATGATCATAAACCGGTTGTCCAACCCCAAAGAAGACTAAATCCCGCAATGAAAGAGGTAGTCATAAGAGAAGTGGTGAAACTGTTAGATGCTGGGATGATTTATCCTATATCTGACAGTTCTTGGGTGAGTCCTATACATGTCGTGCCAAAGAAAGGAGGGACAATTGTGATCAAGAATGAGAATAATGATTTGATCCCTACAAGGACAGTTACCGGATGGCGAGTCTGTATCGATTATATAATATTGAACCTCGCTACGAGAAAGGATCACTTTCCATTACCATTTATTGACCAGATGTTGGAAAGGTTAGCCGGTCATGAGTACTATTGTTTCCTTGATGGTTATTCAGGGTATAATCAGATAGTTGTCGTACCTGAAGATCAAGAGAAGACAACATTTACACGCCCTTTTGGTATTTTTGCCTACAAAAGAATGCCATTTGGGTTATGCGATGTACCTGCTACCTTTCAAAGATGCATGCAGTTGATTTTTGCGGATATGCTTGAAAAATATATGGAAGTCTTCATGGATGACTTCTCAGTTTTTGGTAAGTCTTTTGATAATTGTTTAAGTAACCTTGCTCTTGTCTTAGAAAGATGCTAGAAGAGCAATCTAATCCTTAACTGGGAGAAATGCCACTTCATGGTGCGCGAAGGCATAGTCTTAGGCCACAAAATTTCCTACAAGGGAATAGAGGTGGACCAAGAAAAGATTGAAGTAATATCAAAGCTTCATCCTCCAACAAATCAAAAAGTTGTTAGAAGTTTCCTTTGGCATGCGGGTTTTTACCATAGATTCATAAGAGATTTTTCTAAAATAGAAAAACTTTTAACGACCCTTTTGGTTAAGGATAGGGCTTTTGTGTTTGATAAAGAGTGTGTCATAGCTTTTGAAACATTAAAGAGTAAATTGGTGTCGGCACCAATTGTTGTAGCCCATGATTAGTCTCTCCCTTTCGAGATCATATGTGATGCTAGAGATATTGCAGTAGGGGCAGTTCTGGGACAACGTAGAGAAAAACTGCTGCATGTTATTTATTATGCGAGTCATGTGTTAAACCCTGCACAGATGAACTATGCAACTACTGAAAAGGAGTTATTAGCTGTGGTTTACGCCTTCGATAAATTCAGGCAATATCTGTTGGGTTCTAAAGTCATTGTTTATACTGACCATGCTGCTTTGAAGTATTTATTCGCTAAACAAGATTCTAAGCCAAGACTCCTGAGATGGATTCTACTTCTTCAGGAGTTTGATGTGGAGATTCGTGATAAGAGAGGCTGTGAAAACACCATTGCTGATCACCTCTCTCGTATGTCACCTATTGAAGAAACAGAGGTTAAGAGGCCAATCAAGGATGAGTTTGCCGATGAACACATCCTTGCTGTTATTGGTGTACCATGGTTTGCAGATTATGCAAACTATATAGTAGGAGGTATCATCCCTGATGACTTTGATTCTAATAGAAAAAAAGTTTGTTCATGATTGCAGGTTTTATTTGTGGGATGATCCCTTTTTATACAAGAGAGAAGTGGATGGTCTTATAAGAAGATGTGTGCCTGAGTAAGAGCAGGAAGACATATTAAAAGCATGCCATGCCTCGGAATACAGAGGAAATTTTAGTGGTGATAGAACAACGACTAAGGTCCTCCAATCAGGGTTGTATTGGCCATCATTGTTCAAGGATGCCCAAGATATGGTAAAAGAGTGTGACAAATGTCAAAGAACTGGGAATATCTCCAAGAGAAACCAGATGCCTCAGAATTCTATGTTGGAAGTCAAATTATTTGATGTTTGGGGAATCGATTTCATGGGACCTTTTCCACCATCTTTTGGGAAGAACTACATCCTTGTGGCAGTTGATTATGTATCGAAATGGGTTGAAGTTGTGGCTCTACCAACTAATGATGTGAAAGTGGTGGTGAAATTTTTGAGAGAAAACATTTTTGCTAGATTTGGAGTACCGAGAGCACTTATAAGTGATGAAGGAACATATTTTATGAATCACCTCATGGAAAAGTTGCTCCAGAAGTACAATGTTAAGCATAAGGTTGCCACTCCGTATCACCCTCAAACTAGTGGGCAAGTGGAAGTTTCAAACAAGCAACTAAAGCAAATTCTCGAGAAAACAGTAAATTCTTCTCGGAAAGATTGGGCGGCTAAATTGGATGATGCTTTATGGGCTTACCGAACGACTTTCAAAACACCAATTGGTATGTCGCCGTACCAACTAGTTTATGGAAAAGCATTCCATTTGCCTTTGGAGTTGGAGCACAAGGCATTCCGGGCATCAACATTTTTGAATATGGATTTGTCTAAGTCAGGTAGTTCACGAATCCTTCAACTTCATGAATTGGAGGAATTCTGGAACCGCGCTTATGAGAATGCAAAGGTTTACAAAGACCAAACAAAGAAGTGGAATGATAAAAGGATTGTAAGGAAATAGTTTCATGAAGGACAACTGGTCCTCTTATACAATTCCAGGTTGAAGTTATTTCCTGGAAAACTGAGATCCAAATGGTCAGGACCTTTTGTAGTGCACAAAGTGTTTTCTCATGGGGCGATTGAAGTGAGAAATCAAGCAAATGGCGACATTTTTAAAGTGAATGGACAAAGGTTAAAACCCTATTATATCGGGCAAGAAGGTGGTCGGATTAATGTTGTTCGTCTTACAGGGTGAGATGAACAACCGTCGAGCCATGCGACGTTAAACGAAGCGCTACATGCAAGGCAACCCACATGTTTTTTTCTTATGATTTCTTTTGTGCTGTTGAAATGTTTTCTTTCAGGGTCTCTTAGGCGGAGGAGTTTGATGAATGGAGTTTTGAGCAGGGCGACGAAAGAAGATTTGAGAAAAATTGAAAGAGGTTTTTGGCAAGTACAGGGGATGACACGGTCGCCCGTGTCATCTGACACGGCCGTGTCATCCAAAGAAGAGAGAGAGTGCATATTCAGACTCTGACACGGGTGCCCGTGTCATGCGACACGCCCGTGTCAGAAACCCTAGAGCGTGAATGGCAGGCCCTGACACGGTTGCCCGTGTCATGTGACACGGTCGTGTCAGGAATTTTAGATTTTAAAAAAAAAAAATAAAAAAAAAATAAAGAAGGAGAGGAATTTTGGGAGTTTTATTTAAAAAAAACATATGGGCCCAGCATTTTATAACACCTCTCCGTCTCACATTTCACAAAAAACCTTTTGTTTTCCCTTCTTCTATCTCTCTCTCAAACTCCATAGCCACTCTCTTCATAAAACTCTTGTCTTTCTCCATAAATCTCGTGCTCCCACCTTGCAACTTTCACAAAAGTTGTTCCAAATTTCGCCCTCTAACTTTCTACGGTAGATTTTTCCTCTAACTCTCTGTTTCATTATGGTGTGATTTTACAGGTTTACCAAAAATGCCCCCAAAGCGTAATGCAAGAGGTAAGCAGCCAACAGGCGAACCATCGAGGTCAAGACCAAGGAGCAGCCGCGACCAAATGGCGGAACCTAGCGCTAATGACATTTTCTTTGACAATCCTGCTCATGAAGTGCGTTACTCGCATCATATTCGGCGTAAGTTGACGCCCACAAGGTACATGTGCTCCCAAACTTTGTCTCAACTGGGTTTAACTGATGAAATATATAAAATGTTGCATGTTTTGGGAATTCTGGAATTTATGCAGCATGAAACGCCCACTTTCGAGCGCATAACACTCGAATTTCTGAGCTCTGTCAAGTGTAAGCTGAAACCAACATGGGATGGAAGCACTCAAATGCACACAGGTACTCTAGCATTCAGGCTGTTCAACGTGGAACATCAGCTGACCCTTGAGGAATTGGGTGGGATTCTCCACCTTCCCGTTTATGGACCGGGAGAGATTCCAGAAACTTTTAATCCAGCGAGATTTTGGGGAGATATCGCTGGTTGTGGTGGTTATGAGGCAAAGAGCGCTAAGGCATCTCGGATTCAAAACCCTTGCTTCAGGTATGATCAGAAGTGTATGGATTACATTTTGTTAGGTAGAGGGGATAGTACAGGAGTCGCATCGCAGGCAGAGCTCTTTCTGCTTTATGCTATGGCCAATGCAACCCCGGTCAATATTGCTGCCTTCGTAGCAAACCATCTGAGAAAAGTGCGACGGGTAACTTTAGGTGATATTTCTGTTGGCAGTATGATTACCCAAATAACCGTTTATTTTGGTTACAACCCTGTGGAAATGAATCATGCACCTGTGACAGGTATGAGTAAAATAGATATGAATGCCTTAATTAATCAAGGGATGATTCAAGTACTGGGTAATCGTTTCGATTATATTGTTTCTAAGCGGATTATTATGATGCTTCATAACCCTGAAAAATATCAATTTTGAATCGTCATAATTGGGAATATGGTATTTTTAATAATGCTTTTCAGGTTGAGAATGAAATGAACAATCCTGCTGAGGAACACCTCGTGGATGATGATGCTGAAGAGCCGGTAGAAAATCCATTTGAAAGGCCGACTCAGATGGATGGACAGTCCTCATCGTTCACTCAAGAGGAATGGGTGTGGCTGCAAGCAGAATGTGCTGATCTACGAGCTGAGGAAACACGTCAAGGAGTCGAGTTATTCCATCAAGGACACAAACAAGCTCAACATGGAGAGATGTTGGCTGACATACATCGAATGATTCAGCACTTGATGTTGCAGTTTCCTCACCCTCCTCCACCACAATGAGCTCTGTAAGACCCTTGCATCCTTGGTTCTGAAACATTGAGTTCAATGTTTGGTCCAAGTGTGAGGGGGTTTATTTTATTATTTAGTATTTTGTGTGTTTTTATTTATTGCTTGTTATTTCAGTTTAAATCTGTGGTTTCTGTATGTTTTGTGTGTTTCAGATGTGTGGTGACTATGCCGAAATAGTAGACAATCTGAGATAAGTGGATGAGACAAATCAAGCCCGACACTTATCTCATTACTTGTCCTCAAGCAAAGCTTAAGTCCGCATTATAGGTACCCTCCGAATTTCAACAAACCACGTACCACTGAGATTATTCGCAATTTCTTTACTTTCTTCTAGGCCTTCCATGCTTACCCGACTTACTGCAATCAACTACACTTTCAGAATTTAGCACCTCTTTCTCTGTCAGCCTCTCACACACTCTCCAGATCTCTCAGGTTTAAGTGTTTATACTCTCATTGTCAAGGTATGCACCGTCATCTACTGAGCTTGCACAATATCTGTAAACATAACACAAACACATAAAACATGCACTATACGAGGACTGCGTTAAAATTAACAGTGTTGAAAAGGATTCAATTAGACAAAAAGGGCATTGGTGTAGTTTGAGTAAAGGTAATAAAATCTGCTCTGTGAATCTTAAAACAAAAAGTAAAAAGTACTCTCTACTCCTCAAAACTAGGTCTAAATAGTGTCAGATCACCCAAGAAGTCTGTGCAAAGTCCGAAATAACCTCCAAGAATTTAAATAGAGTGATTTCAAAAAATCACTTTTCTGTCCCGCATCTGCCAACAGGGTCCGTGTCATGTGACACGGGCAGCGTGTTGGGCACTAAAGTCTCACTCTTCCAAAGCAGTTGCCAGGTATTCTGACACGGGCCGTGTCATGTGACACGGGCGCCCGTGTCAACTTCTGCATTGTTCCTTCACCTCGCCCGTGTCAGCTACTGCATTTTCAAAGGGAACGCTTCTGAACTTGTCAGTTCCACCACTATTCTTGTGCAATTTCGCCCGGACATGAAAATACGAAAAGAACCACCAGACTAAGATTTCAAAAGTACCTTATTTAACAAAATTTAAACTGACAAAATGTAAATAAACAAAAATTGAGAAAATTAAAATACGCGACGAAAACAGTAAAAAAAACTAGCTAAAGTGTTACCAAAGATATGGTTTCGTGCCGGATAATAGACAGACAACCAGACATAAATGTGACCGATCAGCTAACATGCTCTTAGAAGAGAAAAGCTGAATGGAAAAAAGAAATGGATTGATTGGTATTTTTTACCATGAAAAGAATTTTTTGTATGCTTAGCATTTTTTATACATTTTCCAAGAAAAAGCAGTTTTAGTTTTAAACGCAATAATGCAAAAATGGGAAGAAAACATCTCAGAGAGACTAACCTATCTCTAACCTAATGTTATCATACAGTGAGGGATCCTATCTAAGTTAGCATGCCAAAGAAAGTCTAACATACTATCCTATAGGGAACATGCACTGAGAGCAAAGTCATGATCTCAATTTCTAAATTGAGTGACTCATCGATCAACAAGAAATAAAGGAAAGTGATAAAATCCTATAGGGAGCATGCACTGAGAGCGAAGTCGTGATCTCAATTGCTAAATTGAGTGACTCATCGATCAACAAGAAAGGGAACAAACACAAGCACAACATATATAAGAAATGAAGTGCGGAATGCCTGCTACAGGTCTTTAAACAGCGACTTCGAGCGCACGCTCTTTATTTCCTACTTCACATGATATCTAGAAAGCGATAAATGCGGAATTATAACTTAGAAGCAGCATAATACCAAACAAACAATAAAGTCCTCAAAAAGCGCAACCAAAGGAAATAGACTCGGAATACTTCGCGTGAGCTGGCATCAACAAACAAACAGTCAGAGATCGCATACTTAGAAAAAGATGTCAAAGTTTCCTCAATGTGAAAATAAATCACACTCAGAATCCAAATACATCCGCATATCGAACAATGAACCTGCATACGATCTCAGATATCAAGCAAACAAAGGTGAATTATAAATCTCAAATAAACAGATAATCGGGATTTAATTCCTAAAAATATTTCCTAAATCTATTATATATATTTTTTATTAATGTTTTTGCCACATCCATATTTTCTCCCCCTTTTTTTTACAAAAATTGTTGTCGAACAATCATGGAAAGAAAAAACTAAAGAAATATTAACTAAAAATTCTATAGGGGGTGTAAACTGTACATGATGCTACTGCATAACAAACCCAATCCTGGTTCTAAGTCCAGCCCATGGAATGATTTTGTTATAGTTTTTTTTCAGCCTTAAAAAAAACTCTGATGGGCTTGAGGGAAGGGTTCGGCCCAAAGATTATGCTTTGTAACACTTCTTCTAGGCTATACACAAAAAAAAGGGTGTTGCGCTTCGGTTCAGCCCAGCAAGAACATTCCACTTAACACTTGGCTTCTCCCTAATACTCGCCGAATCCAACCTTTCCCTAAGCTTCGCCTGCTCCAGATCCTTTCTATCTCTTCACTCCAGATCCTCCGCGCTAATCCATTCTCCCAACCCCAAATCGCAGGCGAAATCAACAACCTCGCCTCCACCATATCAAAATCTCAGTTCACTATCTTATCCCTAACCATGATTATAAGCCTAAATACTTCTTCTTTGATTCAATTCTCTGCCCTTCTTGCTTATGATTCCAATTCAAACTCTCATACTTTCATCGATTCAATCATAACATCAAAAGAAGATATATGTTACCAGAAGGGATTAAAGAAACGTTACCTACCGGCGATGATCCCGATTCCTTTTCAACACCGGTGCAAAGATAAGAACTCCAACGGTAAGCTCTTCACTTGTTTCCCTTTCTTTTCTTCTGAACTCCTTTATCGTCGCTTCCTGTTGTTATCTAAAATCTCGGTTATGCCCTGATATCATTGTTATCGCTCATTTGCAAGGAGGAAGGTTGGATAATTGATGAAGGTGATAATGGAGTGATGAAGTGGGGTCTAAAGATCAGGGAATATGAAGATTGAAGAGGAGCATGGTTTTCTGAAATCGTGATGGAAGACAAAGATGGAGAGATTTTTGTGGTAATCTGAAATCGTGATGGAAGATGAAGATGGAGCGATTTTTGTGGTAATCTGAAAATCGTGATGGAAGATGAAGATGGAGCAATTTTTGTGGTAATCCTGTTGATGGTTGAAGTGTGGAAGAGAGATTGAACCTTCAAGATGGAACCTCCACGAGATAGTTGAAAGGTGAGTCCTCTCTAATTCTGTTACAAAACTGTCTTTTATTCTGTTTTCAACCTGTTAGCTTCCCCAATTATGTTACAATTCTGTTAGCCCTCCCAATTCTGTTACAAAATCTCTATCCATTCTGTTACAAAACCTCTAGCCATTCTGTTATTGCTGTTAGCAAATAGTTAGGAAACGGTTAGAAGTGTTGGAGAGTTTAGTTATCGTTATTTTGAAAATAATTAGTACTGTTAGTTGGTTAGTTAGAGAGTAGAAATGAATTTGATTAGAAAGTTTGTCGGCCTGTTGGAGCTGTTAGAACCTTCTGACATGTTTTTCTTGACAGACCAAGCTGAGAATTAAACTCGAATCTTATTCTATTTTCGCATTTCCTGATTTTTCTGAGTTTCAAACTCTTTTAATGATCTTTTTTTATGTTATCAAACTACTGCACACCAAGAGCTGTTATGAGACTGGTATCCTTTAATTATGAACAGGTTTCCTCTAATTTAACTGTTTGGGATGCTGGTGCAGGGGCTCATTTTGCAAGGATCGGCTTCAACTGGCCTTGTCTGAACTTGTTTATCAGATAAACTGCACTTTGGTTATCACTAGCATGCTAGGATAGTGGCTTGAGGCAAGGCGGCTAGGAAATGTTTGAACTGGTTTATTGTGTTTTCGGCTAATCAGTTTTACAGGGCTGCATATGAATTTACTCACTTTTCTTCTCCTGTATTTGCAACACGACATGCTCCTGACATTCATGTGGGCTTGTGTCAATTGATTGAAATAAAGCTATTGCGGTATATGAGCATGGTTCATCGGTTTTGGACAAGTTGAGAGGAAGCATAGGAATATGGTTGAGACATTCGAAGGCGAGGCATGAAGATTGAATTGTAGATATGAATTAGTGGAGATGGAAGCACAAACATGGTAGCCATTACGTTTAGGATTAGGCATATGTCTTATGTATAATTTCTTGATGTAATATCTTGTAAAATATGAACAATTTGCCTTGTTTCTTGAATTCCGAAGAACTAAACTTGAACGAATATGGAGGTATTTGAATTTCAATCTTCAATTGAATGAAATACTGGAATCCATTACCTATGGTTAATAAATCTCGAGTAACCTTATAATGAAGGCATATTGATATCTTTCGCATTTTTGAATTGAACTCTATTCATGAATGAAGCTTTGAGTAAAGTCGAATTTCGATGATCTTAATGAACATTTGTAATTGCAACTTTGATGACATTTGATAATCGTTAAATGAATTTGATAATGACGTATACCTTGGAATTTTATTTATCTAAGACATCTGCATACATGACTGTTCTAATCTTGCACTTTTGAATTTCTTTTGACATATCAATACTGACGCCATAGAAAACTATGAACCAAAACCTTGAGCCACTTTGTCACATTGAACTCATAGCACATTTGGATGAACCCCTTAATTTTGAGTCCACATTACCTTGCAATTGGAGAAACTTATCTTAATTGAATGACTGATGACCTTAGTCCATATTTCAACCAATCAAAAGACATATCAAAGCAATCATTGACCATAATAACTCTCTTAAAAAATGCCTTGCTCCCAATGAATCCGCAATTTCACATTTTGTGCCATGATTCATGTTTTTGAACTTTAAACCATAAAGGAATCCTAGCTTGATAACCAACAATCATGCAACGAAATTAAAGCCGTGAGAAACAGGTTGAAGAAAAATGATAAGACTTGAAGTATGAAATCCAATGACCTTCAGTTGAAACACTGACAAACTCAACCACCATGGGTAAAAACCCTAATCCACTGATAAGTATCATAATGAGAATAAGATGTCGATTCAATCCTTTAAACTTCTTGAAAGTAATATCTTGTGGTGAAGACAATTGGGAGGAAACCCCAATTCTATTGATTTGGATACATGATGATGAGGAGACGACTTGAGGTATTGAGAGGAATCAAAATCCTAGCTCTTGGTCAGCTCAATTGCAAGACATGATGAAACCAAGAATGATGAGAACGCCAGTTGAACCAACTTTGAGTAAGGTAGCAACCTCAATTCATAGAGAAAAACCCTAATGCCAAAGCCTTTGATCTCGTAACCATGGAATCGATGATATGCATGAGACGTATATGATATGATGAGGGATATTAGGGGAAAAAAATGGGTTATTACAAAGGCATATTTGGAGTCTATTCGTTTCTTCAAGGAAAAGTACATGCTTATTTAGCCCGTCTCACAAAGGGAATTATTGAACGTCTTTAGGGTTTCTCCATCATACGATGAGAACGGGGCTCCTGTCCTGAACGAGAAGGGGGGGGGGGGACATGAATAAATTGATGCCTAAGTTTCCCTTTCACTGGACCAGGAAGCACTATGATAATGGGACAAAGGTTTATGTCTGGAAGAAGGGTCAACTTGGTGTCGAGGACCAGGCCAATTTTGACTTCTTCACTACCTTTGTCGCGGGGATTCCTCATGTCCAGCGTCTGGACAGAGGTGGAAAACCGATCATCGACAAGGACGGGAAGGTGGTGTACGACCTTGCTTTTATAGGTGTCAAGGAGCTCCTCGAGAGCGAGGATCATCTGGCGTATCTGGGTAGTTACTTTATGATATGATTTTCTTTGTATGCATGACATATTACTTCTGTTTGCTGACCATAATTTGTTGTTTCCTCGTAGATAAGATGAATCCTTCTCAAGAGCGTTTGGCCAAGACGGATGCTTCCAACCTGAAGAAGATGCAGAAGGGTGCTAAGTCTTCTCTGTCTAATGTGGGGACAACTCTTATGTCAGGCTCGAGTGCTTCATCGACAGGGCCAGTGTCCAGGGCTCTCCCCCCTTGCTCAGTCGGGGAAGTATCTCTTGTATTACCAACTTGTTCCACCCTTTCTTCTTTGTGCTTTCCAATTTTCACAAGATATCTGCTCGAGATTTATGTTCGCGGGGAACATGTTGTACATCCGCGGAGTTGAATTCCTTCATCTTTTTGCGGACTAGAGTCCAGTATTCTGATAGTTTGTAGTTTTTGACCTGGTATTCTCCTCGTACTTTGGAGGCAACGAGTTAGGAGTCTGTGAAAAGATTTACCTCCTCTACCCCTAGGTCCTCAGCCAAGCGGAGTTCTGCGAGGAGAGCTTCATATTATTCCCGGTTGTTCGAGGTCGAGGAAGATAGAGTGAGGGAGACTTTAACCAGTATTCCTTCCTTGTTCTTCAATATGATGCCTGCTCCGCTCCCGGTGGAGTTGGAGACTTCGTCCACGAATATGGTCCACTTGCGTGCAACACTTGTGGTAGTTAGGGAAGTCATTTCTTCCACGAAGTTGGCTAGTAGTTATGCCTTAAGGGCTTTTATGCTCTCATATTTAATGTCGAACTCGGAGAGCTCTAGTGACCATTTGAGCATCCTGCCCGCCATATTTGGTCGACCAGGTTGTTGCCTTATTGGTTTGTCACTATGGATCACGATGGTGTATGCTAGGAAGTAGTATCCTAATCTCCTCGCGATATTGATAAGTCTTAGGGCTACTTTTTCTATCTGTTGGTACCTTACCTTCGGGCCTTGTAGGGCTTTGCTTATGAAGTAGATGGGTTTCTGCCCCTCGGGGGTTTCTCGAATAAAAGTGGAACTAACAGCCTCAGAAGCTACGGCTAGATAGCGATAGAGAATTCTTCCTTGTCGGGTCTTGAGAGGACTAGTGGCTTGGATAATGCTTGTTTGATATGGTGGAGAGCGAGCTCACACTCCTCAGTTCACTCAAAGGTAACCTCTTTGCGGAGAAGTTAAAGAAAGGGAGCGTGTGTTGAGCGGATTTGGCCACGAAGCGGGATATGGATGTGAGCATTTCGTTCAATGTTTGGATTGAATTTTTTGAGTTTGGAGTAGGGAGCTCCGAAAATGCTCTACATTTGTCGGGGTTGGCTTCGATTCCTCGCTCCGTAAGATAGAAGCCGAGGAATTTTCCTGCCCGTACGCTGAAGGTGCATTTCTCTGGATTGAAACGCATTCTGCACTTCCTTGCTTGTTCTAAGACTTCCTTCAGGTAGATGGAGTGGCCGACTTCTTCTTTATAATTGACGATCATGCCGTCCATGTAAACTTAGATCATGTCACATATATCTTCGCAGAAGACTTTGTTCATCATGCGCTGATAGGTAGCTCCCGCGTTTTTTAGACCGAAGGGCATTACGTTATAGTAATAGTTACCTGACTCTGTCATAAACACTATATATTTTTTGTCCGACTTTGTCATGGGAATCTGGTTGTATCCAAAATATGCATCCATGAAAGACAATAATTTTAAACCCACAGAATTATCGACCAATTTGTTGATGTGGGGGAGAGGATAAGCATCTCTCGGGTAAGCCGGATTGAGATCGGTATAATCAATACACATACGCCACTTTCCATTAGATTTTTTCACGAGGACTACATTTGAGAGCCAAGTTGTGTATTGGGCTTCAGAAATAAAATTTGCCTTTAAGAGGTTTTTTACAGCCTTCTCGGCAACCTCCATTTTTTCTAGGGACTGCTTTCTCCTACGCTCGGCAACCGCCTTAAGGGCAGGGTCTACTGTCAGATGATGACAAGCTACTTTTGGATCCATTCTGGGTATTTTCAGTTGCACTCCAAGCGAACAAATCAATATTCTCCTCCAGGCATGCTTCTAGTTGTCT